AAACCCAGTTAAATGAGTCAAAAACATTACACTTGTCCATTTATTGAGGGAAATGATCCAAAGCTACCTATTTGTGTGTGGCAAAAGTATGTGAACCTCTAGGATTATTAGTTCATTTGAAGGGGAAATTATAGTCAAGTGTTTCAATCAATGGGATGACAATCAGGTGTGAGTGTGGGAAGTCCTACTTTATTTAAAGAACAGAATTCTGGGTATTCACTATCAAAGTCTGATTTTCACAACAAAGGTATGTGGAAGTATGTCATGGCTCGAGCAAAGGAAAATTCTGAGGACCTCTATAAAAACAGTTGTTGGTGCACACCAGTTACTGAAAGCAAAACATACTTTTGCCATTCAGTACAATATAATGTTTTTGACTCATTTGTTTAATTGAGTTCTCTTTATCTAGTTTTAGGATGCATGGAGAACAGATCACATTATAGGTTATATTTTTGCAGAAAATATTGAAAATTCAAAAGGGTTCACAAATTTTTAAGTACAGTAGGGCAGGCCCAACACTGAACATGGAAAGGTTAGGAGCAAAATAACACCATTTTGGCCCTTAAAAAGTCTCCAAAAACTAGAATATTTGCCTAGGTTGGAAGAAGACAACAAAGAAGGTGATGGATTCACTGTATTTCAGATGAAGAAATCCTAACAGATGACCAAAAGAAAGCAGAGGAACTCAATTCCTATTTTCCCTTTGGTGATATGAGCAGCATAGACTAGGAATGTACACAACAGGAGAGATGTGGTAAAAGATCTTCCAGTAAGTTTGAATTCTAAGTCCTCAGGCCCTGATGAAATGCATCCTGGAATAATGAAGGAATTGGCTGAAGTGCTCTTGGGGGCTGTATCAATTATCTTTCAGCAGTACTGGAGAATTGGAGAGGTGTCAGAGGACTGCAAAAGAGCAGATGTTTCCCTCTTTAAGAAAACAAGAGAATCTCAGTAATTATCAACCAGTGTGCCTAACATCAATAATTGGAAAGATGTTAGAGGAGATAATATAGTAGGCCATTTGTAAGCACCTTGAAGACTATACTGTCTCAAGAGTCAGCATAACTGTGTCAAAAATAGATAATGTGAGGCAAATCCTGCCTCCTTTGACCAGGTAACTGCTTCCGTGGATTAGGAGAATGCTGTGGATATGACCTACACTGATTTCAGCATATTATATTCTCATTAACAAGCTGTTCAAGTAAAGTTTAAATGACACCATGGTAAAGTGAGTTTATAGCTCTACACTGAGTTGGAGAGTGGTAACTAGTAGGGTCCCACAGGGATCTATCTTGGGCAGTATCATTAAACATCTTTAGTAATGATCTGAGTAAAGGGATTGACAGACTTTTTATTATATTTGCAAATGAAACAAAATTGAGTGGCCTGGAAGACAGAACAAGATTGCAATCTAATCTGGATGGACTAGAAGACGGCTGAGAGGAACAAGATATCTTCAATGAAGTGAAAATATAGGGATTAGGTACAACATGGGAATTCATGACTTATTAGTACTGCATTGGAAAAGGACTTGGAGGCTGTGGGTTCTCTAGCTCTGGAAGTTTTTTCAGAAGAGGCTGATTTTCCTGAATATTGCAGAAGTTGGTTCTATACTAGGTTGGATTTTAAGGGATGCAATAGGCAACTTTAACCTTTGCAAAACTTAAGAGGCTGATTTAAACCCCTAAAACCACCAAAACCTGAATAAAAGGAAAAAACAATTTTTTAAAATTTAAAATTTAAATCCTACCCATTCTTTTGCATCATTTAAGTGATGATGTCATGACACATGTCATTGTGCTTTCTACCAGACACCTATGAATGCAGCCATCTTGTTATTTTTCATATATTTTCATATACATTTCATAAGTCTCTGAAATCGCTGAAAATAAATCGCCTTAAAAAAATGACCTCAGTTTTTTTTAAATGTCTTTAATTAAAAATAACAGTCCTACCTATATATTATATCATGTTTTACACCTCCATTTCAATAAAGGGTGGCCATATTTCATTACAATCATCCATACCAGACTTATGAACATAGGCAACTAATTTGCAAGTTGCAAATAACATTAGGATTTAATTCACTGATTTATTGGGGCGATAAGTGTATCCAGTGTGGAAAGATAAGTATCTGATGACCAAAAATATTATGACACCCTTAAAATTTGGGAGGGGAAAACGGTTGTACTTACAATCCACCTTAACTTAATGGGAGATTTATGTGCCAGGATGAAGGTCCACTGCTGATTTCTAACACAAAGAATTCCCTCTACTTCTCCACTTGTACTTGTCTGTTTTGGAAGAGCTGATTGGTCAGGTCTCAACTTTAATAAAAGGTCTTTTGTGCTTAATCAGGTGGGAAACTGACTTGCTCAACATCATGTCTCTTTCCCCATCCCGGTAGGGGGATATTGGAGAAATCGCATCCATAGATGGACAGCCCTCACTGGATTCAAAAAGATCCCTTGCTCTACAAAATGGAAGAACCACAGAACCTGAAAATAACAATTCAGAAAAGAATTCCAAGTCTCTCTGTGCATGGATAACATTAAAAATGCTTTTGTGACCATAGCTCATCCTTACAGGAATCTGTCAGTTCCACTTGGTGTCTGTCAAAACAAGCAACACTTTGCAGTCTTGCAAAATTCAAATAAAGTCTTTTTTTTAAAATAAATTTTATTATATTTTCAAAAAAAGTTAAAATACAGAAAAATCAAGAAAAAGGGGAAAAAAGAAAAAAGGCATAAGAAAGAAAGAGTAGCTTCCAACTTTCAGATATATTTCCTTACCTAAACAGAGAAACAGAAAAACGGGCAAAACAGTGGGAGTGTGAGCACCAACTTGCATCTTGCTGCTGGCTTCCCCATTGACTTTGCCTGTGGGAAGCTGGCAGGGAGTATCAGAAATCTCCCTCCCTCCTTCCCTCCCTTCATTTCCACAAATTCAAATATCTTTATTACGGTCTTTGACCAGCCTTTGTAAAAATTAACAACACAACAATTTGTTATCAGGGGAGGAAGAAAACAATAAAACAGTAAAGTAACATAGGTAATTAAAAGTTTTGTGCAATTGTGTAACATAATAAAGATATTTGGCCGCCTGGTATGTGAGTGTCAAGTCAGCATCCCTTAAAAAGTAATAAACATAAAAATTATCAGTATGGCCCTCAAATTTGGAGATGGAGAGATTAGAAACTACAAAACTACCTCATTGAAGCAAAAGAAAACAAACTGTCCAAGCTTCTACATGCATCCATATGGGAGAACTCTACAAACATAATGTTGTGAACTTATCCAGCCACATGCTCAGCCAAAAGTCTGTTCTTGCATGAGACTTACCCTTCTGCTCTCTCAACTCTAGGCACTCAGTTTGGTTCTAAGGGAGGTTGGAGTTATCCCTGAAGGCTTTGATGTAAGGCTAAAGCCTTAGTTGCTGTTTACCATTAGAGAGTGGATGGAACTTTGGACTGGATCTCACCTATGTGCCCCCCTTCCTCATGGAGATGAAATAGGTGAAGAGATGCTTAGATTATTGCTGGAGGGCTATGAGGGGTGAGCTCAATCAAGCACAAGCTAGTGCTGCTATTAAGGTACAGCAAGTGTTAGTACTTTTCCACCCTTATTGCACCCAATGATCCTGTTTAGAGTGACCCAGTCCCTTCTGGGGAGGGGGGAGCCAGAGACACATTTGCAGGGCCCTGTGAGGAATGTGCTAGGCATCTGTTGGACAAAGTTGCT